AAGCAAATAAAATTAAACTGCTGCAGACATTTGTAGCTAAGGCTAAAAATCCAAACGAACCCTGAGTTGTTCTGTCCATCTCTGACAGCACCTGAAATTTTCCCTGATCCTGAAGGATTTACTAGTATTTCTGCTACTGGTTGGCCCAAAACATGTTAGCCACCTGAAGACAGCTAGCACCAATTTTCAGAGAGCTTTTCAGCAAAGGAAAGCAAACAGTTTTTGACTGGAGGCTAAAAGTTTTGCTTTGAATTGATTGCAGAGTGCAGAACCTGTATGAAAGAGCAAGCTCAGCTACCTCATTGGGCTTGGCTTGTAAAATCTGAAGGTCAACATGAACCTGAAAGAAGATACTCATGAGAAATTAATTCAAAAAGGCATAAATGATTCAAGAGAAAAACACTGGTAAACTGCAATCTACATGGCCAGGAATTTCACTGTGGAAAGCCCTACCCCTTACTAAGCACCCATAATGTACCTTACAAATGCAGAGGACACTGCCCTACTACATCTGCCCAGCCACATAAAAGCTGTGTGAGCTAGACTATATTCTGGCCCTCTCTCATCAAATCTAAGCAGAGTGTCTAAGCAGAGCAGGTGCAATTCAGGCCTGGCATGCAGAAAAAGAAATGGAAGGATGAAAAATAAAAGCAAACAGCTCCAAAGGGAACTTAACTGCTGAGTAACAGAGAGGTTTCACCACAGGACTGACTTCATTTCAAATGCTGAGCGCATATTCCTCAGTCATTGCCCAGACCCCCACAGAGGAAGGTGGGGAGTGACTGGCATACAGAAAACAGTGCATTTAAACTGCTCAGCATTTTGTGATAATCTGCATTTATCTGAGAGCTGACGAGTGGTAACGTTTTACCCCAACAGAAACTGACCTAGAGAATCACACTGAGCAGCAACGTAGTATTCTCTGACAGGGTCATTGTGCAAACTTGGGCACCAAAACCCAGCTCTGGCAGAAATCTGCACTCTCTCTTAGCTGCACTGCTGGCATCCAGCCTGGGAGACAAGCAAGGGTCTGTCCCTCTAGCCCTACCCACAGCATCAATGGCTTCAAGGAGATTTGCCATAAGCAAAACTGTGGCATTTAAATCTTCCCTCCCCAGTGAGTGCCAATTCTTCCCCGGCTCTAGTTTTCTATAAACTCCTTGATTCTTGATACAATATGCAAGTATCCAAATTCCTTTACAAAAAGGGGTAAATTCACTAGCACATACAAGGGTAGTACCCCATAGGATACCATCATTTATTTGTCTACCCAAGTAATTTATCATCTTGTACCCTATAGGATACCACCATTGATTTGTCTACCCAAGTAATTTATCATCTTATAAATAAGATGGGTTTAAAAGCAAGACAGATTTAACAAGCTTCTAAGGTTTTTTGGCTTTAGATAGTGTCAAATTGGCTGGTTATGAGGGTTCCTTAAGAGACCAAACTTTGATTTGTTTGGCTAAAATGTAAGTCATTCACTAAGGGATTAAAGACATCCAAAGGTGCTCAACTTTGCTGGAAGCTATGGAGAAAAAAGGAAAGAGGCATGTCAATATAGCTGAGCAAAACATCCTCTAAGTGATTGTGATGTACCCTAAAACAGGCCAGCAAAAAAGCCAAGCACTCTTTTCAGAACACTTCGAAAGCTGGAAGGGATTTCTTGGTCCTCCTGATTTTCAGTCTCTCATTCCTTTTCATTTTCTTGCAGAAGGCAAATTCATTTCATTTGTAGTTTGTAACCTAAACTAAGCATATTGTTATTCCATGCATACTCCTCCAGAGGTCTACTAAGCACAATATTATACAGAAAATAGTAGGACCAAAAGCAAAACATCAGCAAGATCCATTTTAAAACAGTATATAAAGCTATATTAGGATTCCAACAAATATAAGTGGTGTTTCCAATATTATTATAACTACTTCTTCAGTAATGCTTCATGGCATGAGTCAAGTAACCAAGACTTGCTGCTCTGAATAGCATAGGAACTTTCTTTGTTGATGGCTTGAGAACTTCTCAAAGTAATGAAAGCTCACAGATCATTCTGACTCAGTAGTCCTTGGGAAAAAAACAAAGCAAAACAAAAATTCTGTTGCTCTCCATTCCCCTCAGGAGGGAACTGGGAGCATCCCCTTCTCACCTGCTGTCCTGCAGGTTGGAGGCAGCTGACCAGGGTGGATTGATTTATACCAGCAACATCATTATACAAGAAACCTTGATTCAAATAACCTTACTTTGCATTTTACCTTATTTTCTTTACTGGTTCCTTGTGGGTTTATAATCCTTTAGACCTGAAGCTAAACACAGATATTATATATATGGTACTTTTTTTTTCGTAACTAGACAGACACACTATGTATAAATTGCATAACTAGCTGAGAAGCTGAGGACACACTTCCTCAAATTCTCTATTTAGACAATATATTACACTAAGAACTTTCTCTATTTCTTCAGCAATCAGTTCTTTAATTCTGGTTTCAATCAAGCTGCTTCTGAATAGGAACTTGCATTATAAAAATTAAGTAATTTGTAAACAACTAACACTACTATTTTTCTTAAACTAAAGCTGTATTAAATATGATGCAAACAAATAAAACTGCTTTTAACACTTATCACTGTATTATTATCTCCTACTAATGAAATAATGATGTGCAAGTACACCACCAATCTAAAAACCTGCATGTCTATCTTTTTTGAAGACACAAAGCTTTGGTATTTTTCAACTCCACAATGATTACTTTAGTAACAATGCAGTGATCTAAACTGAACATAAAATAGTCTCTGTGTTTCTATAAAAGTGACTATTTTCTACACACAACTGTGCAAACTTCATTTACATTTTCAAGAAACTATGCTTTAAGGTGCTTAGTCAGTTTCCCTTAAGTCAGTCTGACTTTGTATAAAACCGTGCAGGAAAAACAGGTATAGCTATTTTTTTATTTAAATAATTTTAGGAGACTAAAACAAGTGAGTACTTTAGAATTCATTCTAGAGTCATCTTTCAGTGGTTTAGCCAGCATCTATGTGGCCAGTGGGGGCAACACCAACCCACATAGGACTCAAGCAGGGCTGTACCCTCCAGCCCAGAACTGGCCCCATGACCCAGCCTGGCACCACTGCAAAACTCATCCCTGAGCAGCCTGAACGTAGGTAGGAGACAAGCTGGGTAAAACAGCATGTAAAAACCTGTGATGAAGATGTATTAAAAGGTAATGTTTATACAAACACTAGGGACCAATTTTACAGCACATGGGAGCAAACTGCTTCACGTGTAACCATCTGCAGGCCTGAGGAGTTGTATGGTGAGACTAAACACTCATGTTATTTTGTGTAACCATCTGCAGACCTGGGGAGTTGCATGGTGAGACTAAACACTCATGTTATTTAACAGGGGCAGGGGGGTTACTCATTTTTAAGTAATAGATGCAAGGTGACAGCTTTGTTTCAAGGGGGGCAGTTTCCTCCACCCCCACTCCCCATCCCACAGTTGTTCCTCATTCTGGAATGGGCTACCATCTTATAAAAACTGGAAAGGCTTGCATTTGTGTTGAAAGCCCACAACAGTAGTTCCTACATTTTCACTGATCAGATTTTGGCAGGCAGGAAAGCTCTCTCTGTTAACAAGCTTCACTTTATATCTCTAAGTGCACTGCTTTTCTTTCCCTCCCAAATTAGTGCTGACAATTAGTGGCCATTAGAAGAATAAAACTAAACACATGTGAGGAACCAGCACTGAAATAATTAGTTTTGAAAGCCCAGAAAGCACTCCTGAAAGTAGTCAGAAGTGTGTTTCTGCAAGAGCTTCCATCACTTTCTCCAAATCCACAGCCAACTCACATGTGCTGCAAGTTCTACCTTGTAGCTCCTCCAAGACTAACTCCTCTCTGACCTGCTGCTTTGTCCAGCTAACAAATGGACAATGAGGAGGAGAAATGGGCCATCCCTTGGTGGCATCCTTGAAGCATATACTCAGTGGCATCACTCATCATTGACAGCATCTACCTGTATAGGAGACTAGCACATTTTTAAGAGTCAGCACAGAAATGAGCTGGTATCATTCCCTCAGACTACATGGCAAATCAGGCCTTACCTGACACACGAGACAGAGTTATGACAAGAGAGGCAACTACTTCAACAACTGCTTCACTAGACAGGTCTTTAAACCGAGGGGAAATAAGGCAAGTGGATGAGGAGAGGATACATTTTGATTTTTTGGAGTATGTCTAAAGTTAAGCAGGATCCTCTCAAGACACAATAGAGCAAATGCTTCTATCTGAAGAAAAGCAACAGTCACATATCAAGCACTTTCTTCTTACTATCTTCCCAGGACAGTATTCACCTGTTACCAGCCAGTAACAGGGATGCAGAAGTAATTAAGCAGCCTGGCAAAACAAGAACCAGGTTTCCTGTGATCTGGCTAATAGCCTAGGCTGTCTGGTAAATTTCAAAACAAAGCCAAATTCCTCCAACGAACTCCCAATTCTTGCCTGTCACACAGTTATTTCACACACTTGTCCTCTTCTACACTTTCCACTGTGTCTTAAAACAGAATACCATTTGCAGCTCATTTTAAATTCAGAACAACCTGTTACTTCAGAATTTTTTTTTTTTTTAAAACAACAGCTCAAAACAGTATTCTAGATATTTTTAACCACCATATGGATGGCTCTGCACCCGTATGTAGTTTCACAGTTACAGTGGAAAAATCCTACTCAAGCCCTAGACACAGATGAAGAATCCTGCACAACATATACAGTGCCACACTTAAATGAGTAAGTCTCCCACTATAAGCTGACTTATTGTTCTTTATACTAGAATCCAAGGGAAAAGAATTCCAAAACAAACAGTGGGAGTGCTATTATACACTCTCCCGAGTACACAAGCAGCGTTAGACTTCAGCAGGCAGGACAGGCCTTTGGGTAGTTTGAATTGCAGCAACTCCGCAGAGGGTAGAACTACCCTTGGCTTTGAACCCCTCAACCCATGCGGTTCTGACTTCACACTCCTTTGCTGCTCCTTTTCCCCGCGGGGCTCTGCTCCCTTCTTCCAGCCACGGTTGACTCGGCTGGAAACTGCGGGCGAACATCTGCGGGCGAACATCAGCCAAGTCCGCGGCTGGACCGAGCCCGCCGAGCGCGCCTACCTTGGCCACCCAGCTGAACAATGGGGACATCCTCCGCGCTCCGATCCCAATCCGGCGCCGATCCCAATCCGCTTCGCTTCCCCCGCTGCCGGCCGGGCAGCCAAAGGTTCCTCCCCGCCCAGCCCAGCAGCAACCCGCGGGAGCTGCCCGTTCCGCGGCGCTGGGCGCGAGGATGCTCGGAGGACGGGACCGGGAGGGGAGGGAAGGGAGGGGAAGGGAAGGGATGGAATGGGAGGGAAGGGAGGGGAGGGTTGTGTC